CCAATTGTCTCTACTGACTGCGTATTTCCAGATCCATTTGCAGAGCATGGCACTATTAAAAGAAGCCAAGTCCACAATACCCAACCCTCCTTTTTCTTTCCGCGCTTTACACAGGTTCCACTTCACAAGAGGGATTTTCCTCTTATCCCCAACTCCACTCCAAAGAAAGTCCCTTTGCATTTTTTCCAGAGTAGAGATCACTCCTTTTGGAGCCTTGAACAATGAAAAATAGTATGTTGTGAGACTTGACAGGACAGATTTTAACAGAGTCAGTCTTCCCCCAATTGAAAGATGTCTGTTGCTCCACCTTTGGAGCCTCTTCTGATAGCTATTCACAATAGAATCCCAGAAAGCTCTAGCATTAAGCTTTGCTCCAAGCGGGTAACCGAGATACTTCGGAGGATTATGGCTCCAATTGCACCCAATTATGTCGGCAAAGAACTCAGGTTCTGAAATATCTCCCACCGTATATAACACGGTTTTATCCAAATTAACTTTCAAACTTGTTACAGACTAAAAACAAGCAAGAGTAGCCGAGATATGAAGAATTTGCTCGTAAGAAGCATCACAGAAGATGAGGGTATCATCTGCGAATAAAAGATGGGTCACCACCCCTCTCTGCCCTTCCTCGTCCATAAAGAAACCGACAATCTTCCTTTCAGCTTTCAATCTGGTTAACATGAAGGACAAAATGTGCATAACAAGAACAAAGAGACCCGGAGACAACGGGTCTCCTTGTCTGAGCCCTTTCTGAGCCGGGAAAAAGTCCTTGGATTCACCATTAATCATAACCGAAAGGGTAGGAGAACAAACAGCACCGCGGATCCAGTTCTTCCATTTTTCCCCAAAACCCAGCTTCATGAGAACTTTGAAAAGACAGCTCCAATTCACATTATCGAAAGCCTTTTCGATGTCCAACTTCACTATTAATCCTGGTTTTCTGCTCTTTCTTCTACTCTCCACTAATTCGTTAGCAAGGAGACCAGCCTCAGCGATCTGTTTGCCTTGGACAGAGGCCTGCTGGAATTCAGAAACTAAGGATGGGAGAACTTGCCCTAACCTCTTTGAAAGAACCTTACATATGAGTTTGTTAACACTTCCCATCAGACCAATGGGACGCAGATCTTTAATTTCTTCTGTAGCATCTTTCTTGGGCACCAGACAAATGAAAGAGTGTGTTGCACATTTAGGAAGAGAGCCGGTTTCATGAAACTCCTTGAAAGCACCCAAGACTTCTTCTTTAATGGAACCCCAGCATTTCTTAAAGAAATCGAAGGTAAAACCGTCAGGCCCAGGTGCCTTAGAACCATCAGTGCTAGCCAAGCAATCCCAAATTTCCTTTTCCGAGAAGGAACCTTCAAGAGAGGCTGAATCAGATGAACTCAATATTTTAGATCCGTAATTGCGAGGAAAGGGGCGGCGCTGAACGCTTTCCAAAAAGAGATTTTTGTAATAATCTGCTATACCAGCTGATATGTCATCACAGTCTTCAACCATGGTTCCATTGATTTTGATCCTCCAAATAAAGTTTGCCTTCTTTTTGAAATTAGCCATTCTGTGAAAGAAATTAGTGTTCCGATCCCCAAACCTGAGCCAAACTTCTCTGGATTTTTGTCACCAGCATATTTCCTGGAGAAACAGAGCTTGACACAGTTCCATCTTCTTCTCCGTGAGAGCCGCGATTTCCACCTCTGACAGCGGCCGTGTCTCTTTAACTGAATTAAAATCTGAGATTTCTTTGAGGATGTTTTCGACTCTCGTATGGATGTTCCCAAACACCTCTTTGTTCCACTGCTTAATGTTCTGTTTCAAATCTTTAAGCCTCATAATCAATCTGAAAACAGCCCCATTTCCTTGAATCGGATTCGAGTTCCAAACAGACAGATTAGAGTAGAAACGCACGTCTTCGAGCCACATATTCTCAAACCTCCAAGGGCGTTTAATTCTCCTGTTACCACCCCACTGAAGGAGAAGTGGAGAATGATCAGACTCAACATTTTCAAGCCCTATCAGATGGCAATCGGCAAACAGAGAGTCGAATTCAGGAGAGATCAACACTCTGTCAATACGAGACTGAGAAGTACTGTAATCCCCCAGGCTCCACATAAACCGACACCCATTAATAGGGAGGTCAAGCAATTCATTATCCCCAATGAAGCCATTGAAGCAATTCATCAAGTCAACATTTCTTCTGCCTCCAATATAGTCATCATGAGATCTACCAAATTGAAGTCACCCGCAATACAGAAAGGAGAATGATGATGCTGCTGGCAAAAGGTGTTCAATTCACTCAGAAAAACCAGCTTGTCCGGCCTAGACTGTGGACCATAAACAATGATTACACTCCAAGATTTCGACGTGAGACAATCCAGGAACTCAACCGCCAGAAAATAAGAACCAGAACAGCTGGATAAACTCTGAAATCGACTTTTATCCCAACAAACTACAATGCCTCCAGAACTGCCAGAAGAATCTTTTGCAATCCATCCCATATCCCTACTGCCACAAACGCTGCGCACTAAGGAATCACAACAAGAATTCCACTTAGTTTCCACAAGAGCAATAATCTGAGGTTTTTGTCTGCGAATTAACTGTTTAACACTACCTCTTTTATCCTGGTCACAGATACCCCTGACATTCCAAACAAACACAACACAATCCATTACTCTGGAGATTGGAGATTTACCACACCCAAAGTCTTCTTACATTTCCTAGGCCCTGATGGTTGAGGAGAAATGGGCCCCAAACGTCTCCTTTCCATCTCAAGCCTAGATCGCCCACTCTTGATTTTCCCCTTATGCATTTTGATGGCGACCTCAGCAATTAATTCCTCCACTTTAGACTGCCCCTCTCCAGTTCAATCAGAGAAGTTCTTATGTAAGCGGAATCCGAGAATCTGAACTCGCTCACGAATCAGAATACAAAGCTCTCACTTTTTTAGGGTAGTTATCATAAATGGTCACAAACTTTTGCACTTAGTACAAAATGTTCACAAACCTTTAATTTGTAACGATTTGGTAACAAAAGTATGAACTTGGACAAAATGGTCATTTCTATTAATCTCCATCCAATTTTCTGTTAGATTTGCCTTGTCAGCGTCCACGTCATTAACAAAAGTCATAAAAAAACATTCAAAAAACCGAAAACAAACCGGCACCCCTAACCAACCTCACCCCAACCTAAGACAAAACTCTTGTCCCTCACCTCGGATCTCTTGCCGCCGTCCACCATCTCGCGGTCGTAGCTCGATCTGGCCTTCTCTCTTATCCTCACTGTCCGTCGCAAAACTTCTCAAAATTTCAGGCCGCCTTCCTCAATTAACCTCCATGAGGTATTCTTCGATTTAACTCTTTCGATCTCCCAACGATTCATGGTAGAGAACTGTCCTCGATGGAATCTCTCCTCCTCTGTGGCTCTTTACCTTCATTCGCCTCTCTTTCATTTTTTTGGTAATGGGCCTAATGGCCATCTCATTAAATTAATTAAAAATTAAAACTTAAAACACAAAGGGGGAAAAACAAATAGGAACGAAGTGATTTCGTTCCAATTGGCACAGGCGAGATTATACCTAGCTAAGTTTGCCTCTCTTTCATTGAATCCAAATTGTGGGTGATGATTTCGCTCCCACTGCTACCCGTAACCCCTCTTACAGGGTATTACTACGGCGGTGCATCCAGTTCCATCCCCTTCACCTGGGAATCCGCACCTGGAACTGCGAATCACAACCTGTTTTCCCCAGACTCCGTCACTGGCTGCGCTGCCTTCCTTCTACTCGTCCTCCAATGACTCCAACCACCGCCATTTCCGCTCCTCCGCCGCCATTAGATCCCCAAAACCAGTGCTGCTCGGAGGTTGAGGTCCTTTGGCAATGTGGAGATTGCGGCGAAGAGGGAGAGGAGAGAGAGAGGAATGGTTTGGGTTGGGTTGGAATTAGGGGCTGGGTTTGGTTTGGTTTAATTTATTTTTTATTAATTCTTTTGATGACATGGATGCTGACGAGATGGTTGACTAGTCTAAATTAACAGATTTTTTTTACGGAGATAGACGGAATGACCGTTTTGGTATATGATTAAAAGTGAGTTACCAAATCGTTACAAATTAAAGATTTATGACCGTTTTGTACTAAGAGTAAAGGTTTGTGACCATTTATGTTAATTACCCCACTTTTTTAGGATTTTTTTCTAGGATTTTCTCAAGAACACAAAAATAAAAGGATAGGATGGAAAATGATTGTCGTGCAACTTGGACACACGGGAAGAGGTTTGAACAATATCAGGGTAGATGCCCGACCACGATCAAGGGGAATACTTGATCGATAGAGAGCTTAACGAGCTTGGAATCTACCAAACTCACATTCAAGAGTAAACACTCAAAAACCAAGGGTTTTTCTATTCATCAAAGTCTGGATTATCTAAATAGTCTTACAACCCTTTAAGTAGATATGGAAAATAAACCCAATGAAAACACCAAAAAGGAAAAGAGTTCTAGACGAAAAAGGTAACAAAAATCGACGACCAAAAACCCGGTTAGAATACCCGGTCGGGTATTTAGCTACACCAGCCGGGGGTGCTTCTGCTTCAATTATCCGTCCCTCGTCAAATTACTCAGTCTCGACTCTAAAATACCTGGTCGGGTATTCGCCCATTATGGCCGGGTATTTCCTCTGCATCAGGATCATATCAGTCCCGCCCCGTTGAAGAAGCTTTGCCCTCAAAGCTTTTCATCCTGATTTCCAAATGAAATTCTCTAGAGTCCTCCCGCCAGGTTCACCGTCTTCTTGTCTCTTCTTCCTGTACTTCCAGTGATAGAAAAGACAATCATCCACAAAAAGATGAATGTTAAGTCTCAGCTCTTCTCCATAAAAGCCTCGAACCCCTTTTGCTAGCTCGACAATCCTCGTTCCTTGTTGTGGAGCGAAAGTCCTCAAAACTTTTGGAATTCTGCAAGAAAGATCATCATAAAAAGGATTGCGATAAACCACCGCAACCAGCTCGTAGGAAATGGTAAACGCGGTTGCTGCCAGCACGCAAGGGAGTGGATCTCGGTTCCAAGTTTTAGAAACAATAGAGACTGAAGTGGAAATCACAAAAAGGAGCAGCGAGGAGGTTGATGCTTCAAAGCAACCCACCCAGCAAGTAGCTGACACCATGATACAGACTCAGACATCACTTGAGGGAGGTTTGCAGGTTTCAAGGGTAGTGGAGGGTGGAAATAGCCTTGTGACCGTTCCAGTCGCGCAGGTGGAAGCACATGTTACCTTTACCGCAAAGCCTGTGAATGGTAACAAGGTCACGACGGCCAAGGGTGCTGGGATTGCTCCTAAAATGGGTAAACCGAGTAAAGGCGAGGATCAACGTAAAATGAGTTCCTCAACCAAATCCAAGCAGCTGCCAGGCCCAGAATTTTCAAGTTTGGAACGATACAACCGGGAACAGGACCTTGAATTTGCCGGGTTTCTAGTGGTGTGACCACTACCAGTCACCAGACAGTAAAGCGGACGGAGAGGGGTCTCCCCAAAGTTGATCCAAGATGGCAGACCCTTCTTGAAAGTCATCCACCAGAGGGTGCTCTGCCCCACGCAGAGCCCTGCCAGTGACGTCGTCCTAGGGAAGTCCCTTTCCTTTGCATATATTCTCTATGTTAAGTATATTAGCTTGGAATTGCCAAGGGGATGGAAGTGATTCTTTTCTAGCTTATCTCTCTTCGTTCTGTAGGCCGGCTAGACCGGACCTGGTTTTCATAGTAGAGTCGCGTATTTGTGGTGATATTGCGCGTGGCGTGATTGGTCGTACTTGTTTTGATGGCCTGCTAGTGTTGATGTTGTTGGTTTTGCGGGAGGCATTTGGGTACTTTGGCACAAAACTGATTTGGACGTAACCCAACTGTCTTCATCAGCTCAAATGATCCACATAAGTTGTTGGAAACGGAAGCAGGGTAGTGAGGTGGTGGTTGTTGCGCTACAGAGATTGGCGACAGAGTTTTTCCAGATGCTCTATCAAGCGGACGCGGACGTCGCTCAGGAGCTGCCAGGGGGATTTTCATGCATTGAAGAGACCACATTGAGAGGCTTGGAGCGGAATATCATTGGCGAGGAGGTTAGCTATGCTCTAAAGAGCATGGGAGCTTTCAAAGCTCCGGGGAAAGATGGGGAACGGTGGGAGAGTCCCTTGTGGGGTTTGCTTCCAACTGCTTTAAGGAGTCGCGTTTGATCCGAATTGTAAACGAGAAGCTTCTTGTTCTTATTCCGAAGCGTGAGAGCCCTGACTCGATGAAGATGTTCCGGACCATAAGTCTCTGCAATGTTGCCTACAAGACCCTTGCAAAGTGTATAGTGCAAAGGGTCCAACCTCTGATGAGAAAGATGGTCCATCCGTCCCAGAATAGTTTCGTCACGGACAGACATATCTAGAGCAACATTGTCATAGTTCAAGAAGTAGTTCACTCCATGGGACAGAAGAAGGGGAGGAAGAGGCAGATGGTCCTTAAAATTGACCTAGAAAAAGCCTATGATAGAGTCAGCTGGCAGTTTATCAAGGAAACCCTGGTGATAGCAGGCTTTCCATCTCATCTTATTGAGGTAATTATGGAGTGTGTAACCTCGGTGTTTATGCAGGTCCTTTGGAACGAGAGCTGCACGGAGTCTTTTAGTCCCTCCAGAGGACTCCGACAGGGGTGCCCGCTGTCGCCTTACCTGTTCACTCTATGCATGGAGAGAATGAGCCATGTTATTCACGGAGCGGTATGAAGGAAGATGGAAGCCGGTACAGACATCACCAGGAGGGCCGAGGCTCTCTCATGTCTTTTTTGCAGATGACTTGGTCTTATTCGTGGAAGCTAGCGAGAAGCAGGAACGGGTTGTCATGGATTTCCTGGATCGGTTCAGCTTAGCTTCCAGTCAACAAGTTAGCAAGGAGAAGTCGTCTGTCTTCTTCACAGCAAATGTCAAGAAAAAGAGGAGTGCTATTATCGCCAGCCAGATGGGTATCCTGATGACATAAGATCTTGGCCGCTACTTAGGGGTGTCGGTACTACACGGTCAGGTAACAAAACAAACCTATAAATATATTCTGGACTGTTGATAACATCGGATTTGCACATGTTTGCACCCTCGTTTCTTGATCATTTTGGCTTGAGTTTCTGCTTTCTTGGACTATTTTACGCTAGTTTGTGTTCCTTTGTCACATTTCAGGTCTTAGCATGTGAATTGAAGCATAGGCGCAAGTTTCAAGTCAATCGGAGATCATTTGGCAATTCGGGAGAAGAAATACGAGCATGACCTGAGGAATAATGGACTTATACCTCATATTATGGACAAATAATCATGGAATTTTGTCATGAAAAGAAATAGGACGAGATTACGAGCGTGTGGGATCAAACGGCGACTGATTCGGAGTCTGGACGAGGGAGCAACGAAGCATTAAACAGAGGTTGAGCAAGCCGCACGGGCACAAACCACACGGCCGTGTGAACTGGCCATGTGGCCGTTTGGAAATCACCGAGCCCTCACATGGGCATCTGGGAAAGTCACACGGCCGTGTGGCCTGGCCGTGTGATCGGGAATTTCTGGTTAAAACCCGACTTTCAGCAAAAGGAAAGGGGGGAGCTGGGTTTTGGTTCCCAAACACCCAAGGGACGAACCCTAGAGAGAGAGAGCGACTTGGGAACATTCTTGGAGCTATTTTGGAGATGGAGATTGAAGATCTAGATCAGATTTCTGCAGTCTCTCTCTTCTCTATGGAGTAACTTCCCTTCACTTAGGTTTTGAGGAACCCTAGTTCCATGTGTTAGGATCTTTCTTGTATGAAGTTTTGGATGCTATATTGTTTGATTATAATCGATTGAGGCATGAGTTATAGAGTCAATTGAAGCCTGATCATCTTCTCTTGATTTCTTCTTTAACCCATGATAGATAGAATATGATTAGGTTAAGAGAGCTTCCTTGATTGATAGTGGTGAATTGGTTGTACGAGAGTCAATCAATTCACTGCTTTGTACTGGAATTCATTCCAGTAGTGGAGATCTGTGTGAATCGCCTTAGCAGTCTATCCCGGTGAAGGCTAGTCGCCTGCCGGGTATTCTGTCTAAGAGGTCTTGGTCAGCTTAAGAGATTCCAAGCTAATTTAGGATCTTCCGCAGTTTAATCAACAGTAGATCAACCAAAAGTAATTGCAACTTGGACCTAATTGAGGAGCTAGGGGGAATCATACCTAAGTGAGTTCCCAACTTTTAATTAGTAGAGTAGTCAGTAGAGTAGTTTATAAATCAATCCTTAATCTAGTTTGCTAGATAATGAACTGAAGCTGAGTAATAGTAACTCTAGAGACCCGTGGATTCGATATTTATTACTTGTGCCACTATACTTCAGTCCCTTTCATTGGTTACACTTGGCCATTGTTAGGTGTTGTGTTTTAGCGTGTCAACTGTCTTGACAATAAACTTGCAGGATGGAAGGCCTCCAGTCTATCACTTGCAGGGCGGTCTACCTTGCCAAAATCGGTGATGAGTTCACTCCCCACCTATGCGATGCAGACCACCCTTCTCCCCATCTCAATCTACGACGAGATCGACCGCCGGGTTCGTAGATTCATTTGGGGTTCCTCGGCCAAGGGCAGGAAAGTTCACCTTGTCCATTGGGACGATGTTTGTCAGCCGAAGAGTGATGGAGGCCTCGGTTTCAAAAAGGCTCATGAGCTCAACTTAGCTTTTCTTGCGAAGCTAGCTTGGAATTTTTTTAAAAATCTGGATAAGTTGTGGGTGCAAGTTTTACAGGCTAAATATTTCAAGACAGTTAACGGGGTAATGGTTGCGAAATCAATGGCCCGAGCGTCAAATTTGTGAAGGGGAAATAGGAAGGCGTGGCCAGTGATGGAGGCGGGTACGATGATGAGCCTAAAGGATGGCACGGCTACGAATTTTTGGATGGATCAGTGGGTGGCCCCAGGAGTTTGGCTTATCGACCACCTCTTGGAAGGCAGCCCGCCAATTGCACCTAATACTCCTGTCGCTGAGTTTGCTGATCGAGGTATGTGGAACCTCGCTTCCCTTGCTAATTATTTGCTCGATAAGTTTCTCTCCCTAGTTGCAGGGACCCAGCCACCGATTGAGGACGCGAGTGAAGATTGACCTATTTGGGAGCCAGAGGAGAATGGGCAGTTTAACGTCTGGTCTGCCTACAACGTGACGTCAAGCTATGTGGAGGGTGAGAAGATGGTGGACTGAAAGACGGTGTGGAGATGGGAAGGACCAAAGCGGGTCTGCCATTTCTTGTGGCTGGCGATGCGGGACAGGCTGCTCACCAACAGTGGACGCAGACGAAGAAAGCTGACTACGATGATCCACTGCGGCGCGTGCAATACTGAACCGGAGACAGTCCTGCCTGTGTTGCGAGACTGTAAATTTTCCAAGTTAACTTGGATGCAAACAATCCCTCTTACTGACTATCACCGAGTTTTTGGAACTACTTTATAGGACTGGATCGAGTACAATCTCAAGAATCAGCACACTGGCCTTGATTTTAGCCTTACCTGCTGGTCTCTATGGAAGACTAGGAATGATCGAGTCTTTGCAGGCAAGATCACTACGACTGAAGCTTTTATGCAGCGCGTCTAGGCATGGATAACTGTCGTGAGGCAAGCCTTGGACAAAGATAGGCTACTTCATAAGCCTAATCCGCCCGCTAGAACGGAGGTGGAGATCTCTTGGACGCCACCACTTCCAGAGTGGGTTACCCTCAGCACTGATGGCTCCGTTCACAATAGCACAGGTCATGCTGCAGCTGGTGGCCTGATTCCAGATCACACAAGAAAATTCCTTCGGGCTTTTGCTATGAACCTGGGATGTTGCTCTATCACCCAGGCAGAGTTGAGGGGCGCTTTAGAAGGGCTTTAGTTGGCTTGGGATGCTGGCATTAGACATGTTAAACTGGAACTCGACTCCCATTGTGCTTGTCGGAGTGCCGATTTCAGAGAGCATCGCCATGCAGCCGTATTTGATAGAGCTTATGAGATGCTGCACAGATAATGGGATGTGTCTATCTCCCATATTTTCATAGAGGGTAATAAGTGTGTTGATTATCTTGCTAGTTGTGGGCACTCAGTCCCTCTAGGACTTCATATGTTTCCGCTTTCTGATCCCCTCCTTTGTAATTAGATATTGTACGATGTTTAGGGGCTCTCCGAACCCCGGGTGGTTTTGAATGAAAGGTAGGGTGCGTTTGCATCCATTTAATAATAAAAAAGGAATCTCCATCTGACTTCTGCAGTTTTGGACAGTTGATCGATGATTTCGCTCCTTCTTGATTCGGTTGCTCCTCCTCATCACTTTAACTCTGTTGCCTCGGAGAATTGGAACTCGATCTCTGTTCTGCCATGGTTTGAAGCATAGCTCCCACCTGAGCCATCTGTGCTAATAGCTCTCTCATAGCATCGTCAATGTTTGGCTCCATGGTTTGAACCACAAATACACAAACCAAAATCCAAGATATATTTTTTTTTCAACCCACGTTCAGCTTTGTGGCTGATGAACAATTTTTTTTAACTCTTTTTTTGTGAACAGTATCGTGAACAGTAAAAACGAAATAAAAATACCTCAAATCGTCGCTGAGTTTGAACGGGGCTCTGATACCACCTGATGTAAGTGAAATCCGAGAATTCGAACTTGCTCACGAATCAGAATACGCAGCTCTCACTTTTTTAGGGTTTTTTCTAGGATTTTCTCAAGAACACAAAAATAAAAGGATAGGATGTAAAAGGATTGTTGTGCAACTTCAACACACGGAAAGAGGCTCGAACAATATCAGGGTAGATGCCCGACAACGATGAAGGGGAATACTTGATCGATACACAGCTCAACGAGCTTGGAATCCACCAAACTCACATTCAAGAGTAAACATTAAAGAACCAAGGGTTTTTCTATTCATCATAGTCTGAATTATCTGAATAGTCTTACAACCCTTTAAGTAGGTATGGAAAATACACCAAATGAAATCACCAAAAAGGAAAAGCATTCTAGATGAAAAAGGTAACAAAAATCGACAGGACCAAAATACCCGATCGGGTATTTAGCTGCACCAGCCGGGGGTGCTTCTGCTTCAATTATTCGTCTCTCACCAAAATACCTGGTCGGGTATTTCCTATGCGACATGATCGTATCAAGTTCCCTTCCATCCGAGATGTAAACCCCTTCAAATTAGTCATATTTGTTTCACAGATAATTTGGTGGTGTTCTATAATAGATCTACACGAGTAGTAGCAGGGATTAAAAGGATACTTGAGGAAATTTATGTTATATCAGGTATGAAATTTCACCCCTACAAAGTGCCAATTTTTGTGTTCAGGAATTCCTCGGAGTGAAAGGCAATTGCTTAGTACACTGGATTTACATTAGGAACTTTGAAATGGAGGTCGGGTGGAAAGTTTTTGTAGCACTTTTAACTTGTTGAAGCTTCATCCAACTCGACCTTGTCCTCATCTTGGACACCACTTGCTCCTTCTTTTTCATCATCAACCTCCCTTCCTTCTTCTTCAATTTCCTCCCCTTCGGAACAATCAAGATGTTCCCTTTGTTCACTTTTCACTTCCTCTTCCACAAACTTCCTTCTCTCTCCCTCTCGCTCTTCTCTTACCTTCTCATTCATGTCTTTAAGCACGGTTTGGAGGGCAAGATGCCATGCATCCTCTTCCCTCGTGACTTGGTCTTCAAAGTTGCTCTTGGGAAGCGGAAAGTGATGAGAGTCTCCAATGAGACACTCTTTATCATCCTCACCCTGAGAGCTTTCTGGGCTGAGTACTTCTTGTTCCAATAGTCTTCATTGACCTCTCCTCCAACCTCCACTTCTTCTTCCAATTGTGAGAGGCAATGGCGTGCACAAGCTTGTGCCACCTTCTTTTCTAGTGACAAACTGGGAGGAGGGAGGGATTGGAAATCCATGTCGGAGCTCGTTCTTCCAAAGTTCTCATGGCTCGCCTCTCCGACTTCCTCTGTTCCTTCAAATGGTAGGAGGCGATGGTGAGCAAGTTGTGCGCATGCTTGCTCAACCAACCCTCCTAGCCTCACTGTGTGTTGAAGGTGCACCTCTGATTCCCATAGAAAGGTTGAGTAGAAAGGGTCGGCAATTCGGAGGTCCATGCTAGAGTACCCTTTGTCGGTGCTCTGGGCCAATCTCTCCAACATGACCTCTAATTCGCTCTTTGGATCTGATTATGGAGTGGAACATGGTCTCGAATGCCCCACGAAAGCCTCCATGGTCAACTCCAACTTGGATTTCACCTCGAGTTGTGGAGGGAAACCTTCTTGATACAGGGAAGCTTCTTGGTATCCCCATGAGCATGGTTGCTCTTATTGGAAATCAGGTTGGTAGTAGAACCTGGATCCTTGACTTCCCCGATCTTGATTGTCCCATGAAGTTCCGAGGTAACCACCCTCGGCTGGTGGTGGATTACCCCACACTTGGGTGAAATCATAAGGATCCATGATCCAATCCCTACAAACACAAAAACACTAAAAAGGGACAATGAAATACACACAAACCACGCTTCCAGACAAAGAGTGGTAAACAAAACATAAATGGAACACAAAACAAAAACAAACAGGCAAGAAAGAAAATGCTAAAGTAACATCAAGCGACCTTTTCAAAATAATGGATTGTGGTTCCTTGGCAACGACGCCAAAAACTTGACTCACCACGGACACACCATGCTTTAAATCTCGACTAGAGCTCAAGCATAAACTATAGCGGGGTGTAGTATAGGTAAAGTATGTTTTAATTGTCCAACCCGGGCCGGTCCATGTACCCTACTTCAATCGCTTAGTTTGTTATCTAGCAAACGGTTTTAGGTTTGAAAACTAAGAAAACTACAAAATAACAAACAAGTAAAGTAAATCAAGGTTGTCCCAATGTGAGAAGAATTCACTCGGGTATTGCTCCCCCTAGCTACATATCAAGATTGACCAAATCGAATGCAAATGTGTGAAGGTGTGTTCATACACCGTTAAGAGGGCACAACAAGTGAATGAAACCTCACTCTCTTAATCAATCGGTTATGTAAAACAACTAAGCTAGGAACCCTATCTCTCGCAATCAATGGATTAAGGATTGATACAAACTAGGAAGACTAGCTCTCTTAACTGATCAACTAAGGGTTGAAAGAACCAATCCCTTGGACTTTAATCCGGAAGGCGAAAGAACACCCAAGTTAAAATTGCTAAATTGAAGATTTTGGTTTGCCCTAATTCGCCCTAGGTAGGTGGCTCAATTGACCAAGGAATCTAGCTTATCAAAGCCTCCTAAAAGAAATGGGGTTTCCCTCCATCTAGGTCAAATTGGCATAGAAATGAGAAATGAAGAACACAACCCAAACATCATGAAAATATCTTGAACTTTGCATTAAACACAAACCCAGACACAAAGCATTCAATTAATACAATCTATCACATATTTCAAGCAAGGGTTCATAACACCCAAGAGAATAGGTCGACTATTCCATAGCAAGGCAAAGTAAAACAAGAAAGAGTAGAGAAAGAACCAAGAATAGATGAAAATCTTCCTTCCTCCTTGCTTGAATCTCCCTTGAGAGGTAAGAATCTTTCACTCCTCTAGCTTAGGGCAAGCCCAATCTCCTTCTTCCTCCTTTGAATGACACTTTCTCTCTCTAGAATAGGAAGAGGAAACCCTAATCTCTCACTATAAACCCTCCTTTATTCTGAAAACTAAAACCCTAGAAAAACCTCCTATTCTCCTTGAGCTCACTTCCCATTTTATACCCAGATCGACGATTGTTCGCGGTCCCATTACACGGCCGTGAACATTCGTCCTGGACCGTGAAGTCGAGTAGATTCGCAGTGTTTCACTAAGTCACTTCAAGGTCCGGGGATGGAGTTCACGGTCTTACGACCGTGACTAATTGGGATCCCGCGAGGTGTGCAAACTTTTCTGGAACTTCAGCGTTTCACGAGCACGATGCAATTGTCACGGTCAATTTTGGACTTTTCTTCACTTTTTCACTCTTTTTGACCTCCAATCGACCCGACATTCGTCCTCAACCTTCCCACACGTGCTAGGACCTGAAATATAACAAATCAAGCATAACCTAGCATAAAATATGTCGAGATACGATAAAATGCAATGTCCATGATACGCTAAAACACAACACCTAACAATGGCCAAGTGTAACCAATGAAAGGGACTGCAGTATAGTGGCACAAGTAATAAATATCGAATCCACGGGTCTCTAGAGTAACTATTTGATAACGATGTAATTGCACGAATTTGCGCCCCTAGTTCTTATCCGTTTGAGGGGCATAGTCATGTATTTTTGGCCTATTTTATGCCGGGTTGTGCTATTTTGTCATATTTCAGGTCCCGAGCGTCAAAGGAAAGGCTAAGCACGAGTTTCGGGGCATTCGGAAGTCATTTCGGTGAGCTGGAGCCAAAACACGGGCACACCTAAAACAGAACACGGCCGTGTTCTGTGACCATGCTTTTACTGCCGAGAGCTAATTCGAGTTTGGACCACATTGGCCAAAACACGGGCACCGAAGCACGGCCTTGTTCAGTCAAAGCACGGCCGTGTACATTGCGAAACACGGCCGTGTTTAACCCACTTGCTGGCCGTATAATTAAGCCCTGGCCAAGGCACGGGCAGGCTCAGGCAAAGCACGACCGTGCCCTCGACCATGCTTTGGCCACTGATGCTTTTAAGCAGAGTTTCAGCCACAATTCAAGGGGATTCGAGTTTTTGAGAGAAAGAACGACTTCTAGAGAGAGAAAGTGACGAGCAAGAGTTCCCAAGTGCCCTAGATTGATCTTCAACACCATTGGAGGCCAGCTTGAGCTTGGAGAAGTGCCAATCAACGTCCAGAAGCAGGAATCCATCCTTCGCAGTATGAATTCCGTGTCTGATTCTGCTTTTGCTTTCTTCTCTATGGAGTAGTTCTCCCATTCATCTGGGTATGGAGAACCCTAGATTTGTATGTTAGGCTTTGATTGTATGAACCCAAGTACTGATTCTGTGATTGATTATATTCGATTGAGGTTTTAATGTTTGAATGACTTGAATCCTGATCAAATTCCTGTTGTTTCTGCTTTAACCTAGAATGAGAATATCTGCCTAGGTTAATAGAGTATCCTTGATTGAAGGTAGGGAGTTGGTGACTTTAGTTGAGGAACCAACTCACTATTCTGTACCGGATTTACTCCGGTAGTGGAGGTTTTGTTCTTAGGGCCTCAATCTGTCGACTCCGGTGGAGGTTAGTCGCCCGCTAGAGATTCAGATTGAGAGGGTCTGAAGATCTTTAGTCGAGACTTCAGGCTGTTTAAGAACCTTCCGCAGTATAACTGTCATAGAAACTGAACTTGGTAATTACAATCCGGCTTAACTGCAGTCTAGGGGGAACCATATCCGGGTGACCTCTTTAACCTGAATACAACAGTTTACTTGCTTTGTTTGTTTGATAGTTTAGACTTGCATTCCAGTTTCATTGCTAGATAACACGAATTCACTGAGTAGGCATCATATCTAGGACCCGGGTTGACATATAAACCTAACCCGCTATACTACGCTTTAGGAAGTGGTTTCACTTGGCCAAATCCTAGGGTGACAGTAGAGTCGAGTCAAGTTTTTGGCGCCGTTGCCGGGGACGGCTAGGTTGTTGATGAAAAGTGATTTCTGTTAATTTAGCTTTTCTTTTTGCTTTGTTTGCTTTGTCCCACTAGTGCCTTCACGGGTGTGCTTGCTTGGGTGTGTGCTGGTAGTGCATGACCCGTAGCCAGTCGGGAGGTTTACTGCCGTTGAATCCAGAGATTGACCGCACCTGTCGCCAGCTCAGGAGACAACAGCGAGCTTGACTGGCTACGGAAGAGCGCATAGACGGCCACCTGAGCAGCGATTCTGAAGAAGAGCACGGGATGGACGGAGACTACAACCAACACCAGGGGAATCCACAGCAGGTTCCCCCGGTGAATCAGGTCCTGGGGAACAACCCCATACCCCAGGATCATGGAGTTCATCATCCACCACAGCCGGGTCCCACTTTGGAGTACTACTACACTCCGCGGATTGCTGACATCCGCCCGGTCATCCTCTACCCGCCTATCCCAGCAAACAATTTCGAGATCAAGCCATGCTGGATTCAGCTCATCACATCCTCTATCCAGTTCCATGGCTTGAAGGATGAGGAGGCCAGGGTACATCTGTCCCGTTTTCTGCAGCTGACAAACGGGTTCAAGCTGAATGGTGTCCCCGATGATGCGATCCGCCTTCATCTCTTCCCCCATTCTCTGGCGGGGAATGCTAAGAGGTGGTTGGAGACCCAGCCCCCATTGTCCATCACCTCTTGGGACGATCTGGCGGACAAATTCGTGCACAGGTATTATCCGGCATCGAAGACTACAGAGATTCAGCGGGAGATCACTCACTTCCGCCAGGAGCCAGATGAGTCACTTCGGGATGCTTGGGAGCGATACATGGGCTATTTCTGGTAGTGCCCCCGTCATGGCTTCAGCGATGCATTCACTGTGGGGAACTTTTACAGTGCCCTCTCTCCAGATAGCCAGAGGGTGATTGAGTCTTTATGCCCAGGAGGGGATGTTCTCACTAAGACTCCTGGGGGCAGAGTAGCAGAGGCAGACATTTTAGGGACCGTGGTGTGCACGCCATGGAGTCCAGATCCGGACTCGAGCAGCAGGTGGCTGAGTTAGTGCAGACATTGAAGCAGCCCAACAGTCTGATTCCGGGCAGAGGTTTGGCTACACCTCCAGTTGCTCAGTGTCAGTGGTGTGAGAGCTCCAGTCACCTAGTGGAGGACTGCCAGGCTATGAGGGAGTCTACCACACCCCAGGAGCAGTTGGCCTTCATCGCCAATGCGAGGCGCCTCGATCCATACAGTAGCACATATAATGAGGGGTGGCGCCAGCATCCCAACTTCGCCTGGAGCAGCAACACCACTAAACCACCTGGTTTCCCAGCACCAGCAGGTGGTTTTCAGCAGAGGCAGCCCTTCCCGGCTCGCCAGGGGCCAGACCCACAGCAGCAGCCCTACCAGCCTAGGCAGGGGCAGCTATTCCAGCAGCCCCAGCGCCAGTTTGTCGAGCTAGCAGCAGCTCCAGCCCCAGATGACAGGATGACGAAGCTGGAAAACATTCTAGCTTCATTCATGACGAGCACTCAGGCGACTATCACGAGGTTGGACCAGAGTGTAGCCTCACTGGAGGCAGGTCAGAGGAACCAGGGTGCCATTTTGCAGGATCTGCAGACCCAGGTGGGCATCTTGGCCCGCCAAAACACTACCAGGGCACCGGGGACTCTGCCTGCCACCACTGTTCCGAATCCTCGAGATCCTCACCAGCATCAGCAGCTGGATGCCATTTTTACCAGGAGCGGTAAGACCATATCTGCTGATCCTGTCCCGGCCAGACAGGAGGAACCACTGCCTACTTCAGCACTTCCAGCCGACGATGCAGAAGTGCGGGTGGAGAAGGAAGCCCCTGCTCCCAAGCCCCAACCAGTGGTTAAGGAGCATGTACCCCAGCTTCCCTTCCCCACTCGCCTACACAAGGACAAGCTGGAGACTGTGTTTGCCAAGTTCATGGCAATGTTGAAGCAGCTCAACATCAGCATACCGTTCATGGAGGCACTGTCGAAGATGCCCAAGTATGCCAAGTTCATGAAAGATATCTGCACCAACAAGAAGAAACTTGGGGATCTCTCAACAGTGATGCTGAGCGAGGAGTGTTCTGCTATCCTGCAGAACAAGCTGCCCGAGAAGCGCAAGGATCCAGGGAGTTTTACTATCCCTCTTACTATTGGCAGCATGCATGTAGGCAAGTCCTTGGCGGACCTAGGCGCTAGCATTAACGTCATGCCATATAAGTTGTATAAAATGCTAGACCTAGGTGAACTTAGCCCTACTAGGATGAGCATTCAATTAGCTGATCGTTCTATCGTGCATCCTAAGGGTATCATTGAGGATCTGCTTGTTAAAGTAGGTACATTCACATATCCTGTTGATTTTGTTATTCTTGATGTGCATGAGGATGTGGATGTGCCTTTGATTCTAGGTAGGCCATTTCTTGCCACCGCCAAGGCACTTATTGATGTGCATGATGGTAAATTGATTCTGCGTGCTGGGAATGAACATGCTACTTTTTCTGTGACTGAGTTTGATCACTGTGCTATGATTGCTGTCACGCCTGTGCATGCTATGTCTGATCAGGTACACGAGCCTGTCGTGTACCCTTCTGCACCTCCTATTTTGCAGAACCCTCCTATCATTCCTTCGCCGCCACTCCATCCAGCCTCACCTCCGAACAAAAAGCTCAAGGAGGAGTGGCGGCCGAAGCCGCAGGTTGCCAAGCCTGCACGGAAGAAGAGTGGAGACCACTATGAGCTGGTCCCACCTCCTGCACCACGACCACCCTGGCCGTCTGGGTACTCACTCGCCTGCATCTTGCCAGACGGGCAGGTCGAGCTGACTGATGAGGGTGGTCGCATCCGTCGGGTGCATGGCCACAACCTCAAGCTGTACCTCAAGAGCGACGTGGATCCGCTCTTGGAGGCACCTGTTCCTGCACCGCCCTGAGTATCCGCCATGGGCGTCCAACTAATACGACGGAAAAGAAGCGCTTGTGGGGAGGCAACCCCACCACGGTTTGATTTTCTTTCTTGTGTTTTGAGTCGGATTGTAACCCGGTTTGGGTTTGGTTTGTTTTCTTTTGGTTTGGATGATATTTTATTGTGTTTGAGCTGACCATTGAACCTAACATATTGTGTTTGAGCTGTTCTGTTTTCCTTCGGCTGTGCTTGCCCCGACTGGCCCGTTTCCAGTCTCCTGCAGTCCGTGCATACCGGTAACATCGTTCCCTTATCCTTCCCTCTTCTCCATTGAGGGCAATTTCGATCTTAAGTGTGGGGGGGTGTTTATCTTTTGACTGCATTAGATCTGTTTGTGTGCTTGGAGCCTAGTCCACTGGTCCAAATTTTTAAATTTGAGGGCTCCAAGTACGTGTTCCTTGCAATTGCCTGCTCAGTATGCTTTGAATTGACAGTCTTTATAGTAATATGCAACGTAGGGAGGTAGTGTAGCACTATGGAGGATGTTGATGCATTTAAGAAGTCTCATTTCTTCTTCATATTGAGTTGGTTGATTGAGTGAATTAGTGATCTTAGGACCCTTGAATTGTGTGGTGTTGTGGATTCTTTGCCTGTCATGGACTCTTGTATCATGTTTTGAGTTTAACAGGTGCTCGAAAATGTGCTTCAAATAACGTCTCCCGTGCGAATAGGGCGAAAGTGTGTAGGGGGAGACGGGAATCCGTTCCCAATTTCCACCTACTACCTCCAGCCCCCTTGCATGGCTTTCCCCCGCACGAGGCTCGAGACATCCGCTCCTGGCATGGCCGGTAAGAGCAGGTTGGGACCCTTGAAAAGAAAAGAAAAGAAAAATAACAGAAAACAAGCAAAACAGAAAAAAAGGGGTTCCAACCATCTTCAAAGAAAATCGAGCACCTTGAAAAATGAGAGTCCATGATCCTTTGTTTTTGAGAATCTCTCCATCCACGATTCATTTGTCCTCTGTTCACTTTTTGCCATGATGCCGACTCGATAAGAAGCTTTGAGATGACTTGTGCGTCGGTTGACCTCGTAAGCTGCTAAATGACCTAGAAGTCCTCTACTTACGATCTGGGTTGTTTGTTGCTATGGAGGTCTGGAGAGTTGCATTGGTTTGAGTTAGGTTTGCTTGGGGACAAGCAAACGGTTAAGTGTGGGGGAATTTGATAACGATGTAAATGCACATGTTTGCGCCCCTAGTTCTTATCCGTTTGAGGGGCATAGTCGTGTGTTTTGGCCTATTTTACGCCGGGTTGTGCTATTTTGTCATGTATCAGGTCCCAAGCGTTAAAGGGAAGGCTAACCGCGAGTTTCGGGGCATTCGGAAGTCATTTCGGTGAGCTGGAGCCAAAACACGGGCAGCCTAAGGCGTTACACGGCCGTGTACTGCTGGCCGTGCTTTTTATGCCGAGAGCAAATTCAGTTTGGCCAATTCAGCTGCAAACACGGGCACCGAAGCACGACCGTGTTCAGTCAAAGCACAGCCGTGTACATTGCGAAACACGGCCGTGTTTAACCCACTTGCTGGCCGTGTAATTAAGCCCTGGCCGAGGCACGGGCAGGCTCAGGCAAAGCACGGCCGTGCCCTCGACCGTGCTTTGGCCACCGATGCTTTTAAGCAGAGTTTCAGCCACAATTCAAGGGGATTCGAGTTTTTGAGAGAAAGAACGACTTCTAGAGAGAGAAAGTGACGAGCAAGAGTTCCCAAGTGCCCTAGATTGATCTTCAACACCATTGGAGGCCAGCTTGAGCTTGGAGAAGTGCCAATCAACGTCCAGAAGCAGGAATCCATCCTTCGCAGTATGAATTCCGTGTCTGATTCTGCTTTTGCTTTCTTCTCTATGGAGTAGTTCTCCCATTCATCTGGGTATGGAGAACCCTAGATTTGTATGTTAGGCTTTGATTGTATGAACCCAAGTACTGATTCTGTGATTGATTATATTCGATTGAGGTTTTAATGTTTGAATGACTTGAATCCTGATCAAATTCCTGTTGTTTCTGCTTTAACCTAGAATGAGAATATCTGCCTAGGTTAATAGAGTATCCTTGATTGAAGGTAGGGAGTTGGTGACTTTAGTTGAGGAACCAACTCACTATTCTGTACCGGATTTACTCCGGTAGTGGAGGTTTTGTTCTTAGGGCCTCAATCTGTCGACTCCGGTGGAGGTTAGTCGCTCGCTAGAGAGTCAGATTGAGAGGGTCTGAAGATCTTTAGTCGAGACTTCAGGCTGTTTAAGAACCTTCCGCAGTATAACTGTCATAGAAACTGAACTTGGTAATTACAATCCGGCTTAACTGCAGTCTAGGGGGAACCATATCCGGGTGACCTCTTTAACCTGAATACAACAGTTTACTTGCTTTGTTTGTTTGATAGTTTAGACTTGCATTCCAGTTTCATTGCTAGATAACACGAATTCACTGAGTAGGCATCATATCTAGGACCCGGGTTGACATATAAACCTAACCCGCTATACTACGCTTTAGGAAGTGGTTTCACTTGGCCAAATCCTAGGGTGACAGTAGAGTCGAGTCATAGACCATTTCTTGCCACCGCCAAGGCACTTATTGATGTGCATGATGGTAAACTGATCCTGCGTGCTGGGAATGAACAGGCTACTTTTTCTATGACTGAATTTGATCACTGTGCTATGATTGCTGTCACACCTGTGCATGCCATTTCTGATCAGGTACACGAGCCTGTCGTGTATCCTTCTGCACCTCCGGCACCACGACCACCCTGGCCGTCTGGGTACTCACTCGCCTGCATCTTGCCGGATGGCCAGGTCGAGCTGACCGATGATGGTGGTCGCATCCGTCGGGTGCATGGCCACAACCTGAAGCTGTACCTCAAGAGCGACGTGGATCCGCTCTTGGAGGCACCTGTTCCTTCACCTCCCTGAGTATCCACCATGGGCGTCCAGCTAAAAGACGGTAAAGAAGCGCTTGTGGGGAGGCAACCCCACCACGGTTTGACTTTCTTTCTTGTGTTTTGAGTCGGATTGTAAACCAGTTTGGTTTTGGTTTGTTTTCTTTTGTTTTGGATGATGTCTTATTGGGCTGACATTGGACCTAACATATTGTGTTTGAGCTCTTTGGTTTCCTCTAGCTGTGCTTGGCTTGATTGGTCCGCTTCCAGTCCCCTGCAGTCCGTGCATACCGGTAACATCGTTCCCCTTTCCCTTCCCTCTTCTCCATTGAGGGCAATGTGGATCTTAAGTGTGGGGGGATGTTTATCTTTAACTGCATTAGATCTGTTTGTGTGCTTGAAGCCTAGTCCACTGTCCAAATTTTTAAATTTGAGGGCTCCAAGTACGTGTTTCCGTGCAATTGCCTGCTCAATATGCTTTGAATTGACAGTCTTTATGGTAATGTGCAACCTAGGGAGGTAGTGTAGCACTATGGAGGATGTTGATGCATTTAAGAAGTCTCATTTCTTCTTCATATTGTGTTGGTTGATTGAGTGAATTAGTGATCTTAGGACCCTTGAGTTGTGTGGTGTTGTGGACTCTCTACCTGTCATGGACTCTTGTATCATGTTTTGAGTTTAACAGGTGCTCGAAAATGTACTTTAGAATAACGTCTCCCGTGCGAATAGGGCGAAAGTGTGTAAGGGGAGACGGGAATCCGTTCCCAATTTCCACCTACTACCTCCAGCCCCCTTACATGTCTTTCCCCCGCACGAGGCTCGAGACATCCGCTCCTGGCATGGCCGGTAAGAGCAGGTTGGGACCCTTAAAAGAAAAAAAAAGAAAAAACAAACAGAAAACAAGCAAAATAGAAAGAAAAGGGGTTCCAACCATCTTCAAGAAGAAAATAGAGCACCTTGAAAAATGTGAGTCCATGATCCTTTGTTTTTGAGAATCTCTTCATCCACGATTCATTTGTCCTCTGTTCACTATTCGCAATGATTCTGACTCGATACTAGTGCTCTCGCCGAAGAAGCTATGAGATAACTTGTGCGTCGCTTGACCTCGTAAGTTGCTAAATAATCTAGGAAGTCCTCTACCTACGATCTGGGTTGTTTGTTGCTATAGAGGTCTGGAGAGTTGCATTGGTTTGAGTTAGGTTTGCTTGGGGACAAGCAAACGGTTAAGTGTGGGGGAATTTGATAACGATGTAATTGCACGAATTTGCGCCCCTAGTTCTTATCCGTTTGAGGGGCATAGTCGTGTATTTTTTGCCTATTTTACGTCGGGTTGTGCTATTTTGTCATATTTCAGGTCCCAGGCGTCAAAGGAAAGGCTAAGCACGACTTTCGGGGCATTCGGAAGTCATTTCGGTGAGCTGGAGCCAAAACACGGGCACACCTAAAACAGAACACGGCCGTGTTCTGTGACCGTGCTTTTACTGCCGAGAGCTAATTCGAGTTTGGACCACATTGGCCAAAACACGGGCAGGGTTGAGATAGAACACGGGCGTGCTTCACCAAAGCACGGCCGTGTCCTCCCAAAAGCACGGCCGTGTTCTCCCAAAGCACGGCCGTGTTCTCCCAAAGCACGGCCGTGTTTGCACCAACACAGTGGCCGTGTAATTAACACTAGCCAAAGCACGGGCGGGCTGAGGCATTACACAGCCGTGCCCTCGACCGTGCTTTGGCCACTGATGCCTTTTTAAGCAGATTTTCAGCCAAACAGAAGGGGATTCGAGTTTTTTAGAGAGAGAACGATTCCTAGAGAGTCTCCAAGTGCCCTAGATTGATCTTCAACACCATTGGAGGCCAGTTTGAGCTTGGAGAAGTGCCGATCAACGTCCAGGAGCAGGAATCCATCCTTCATAGTATGAATTCCGCGTCTGATTCTGCTTTTGCCTCTTTCTCCATGTAGTAGTTCTCCCATTCATCTGGGTATGGAGAACCATAGATTTGTATGTTAGGCTTTGATTGTATGAACCCAAGTACTGATTCTATAATTTGATTATATTCGATTGAGGTTTGAATGATTGAATGACTTGAATCCTGATCAAATTCCTGTTGTTTCTGCTTTGACCTAGAATGAGAATATCTGCCTAGGTTGATAGAGCATCCTTGATTGAAGGTAGGGAGTTGGTGACTTTAGTCGAGGAACCAACTCACTATTCTGTACCGGATTCACTTCGGTAGTGAAGGTTTTGTTCTTAGGGCCTCAATCTGTTTACTCCGGTGGAGGTTAGTCGCCCGCTAGAGACTCAGATTGAGAGGGTCTGAAGACCTTTAGTCGAGACTTCAGGCTGTTTAAGAACCTTCCGCAGTATAACTGTCATAGAAACTGAACTTGGTAATTACAATCCGGCTTAACTGCAGTCTAGGGGGAACCATATCCGGGTGACCTCTCTTAACCTGAATACAACCGTTTACTTGCTTTGTTAGTTTGTTAGTTTAGACTTGCATTCCAGTTTCATTGCTAGATAACAAGAATTCATGAGTAGTCATCAGATCTAGGACCCGGGTTGACATATAAACCCAAACCCGCTATACTACGCTTTAGGAAGTGGTTACACTTGGCCAATTCCTGGAGTGACAGTAGAAGTGAGTCACTATTACTCAGCTTCAGTTCATTATCTAGCAAACTAGATTAAGGATTGATTAACTAAACTACTCTATTAACTAAACTAAGTAAAACTACTAATTACAGTTTGGGAACTCACTTAGGTATGATTCCCCCTAGCTCCTCAATTAGGTCCAAGTTGTAATTCCTTTTGGTTGTTTTACTGTTGATTAAACTGCGGAAGATCCGACAGTAGCTTGGAATCTCTTAAGCTGACCAAGCCCTCTCAGTCTAACTACCCGGCAGACGACTAGTCTTCACCGGGATAGAAAGCTGAAGCAATAAGCACAGAACTCCACTACTGGAATTGGATTCCCGTACAAAGCAGTAAACTGGCTAACTCTCGTATAGCCAATCTCCTACTACCGAATGATGAGACTCTAGCAACCTAATCAGATTCTATCTATCTCAGATTGCAGCAGAAATCAGGAAAAGTTGATCAGACTTCAATTGACTCAATAAACATGCATCATTCGATAATAATCAAACAATATAGCATCCAAAACTTCATACAACAAAGATCCTAACTCATGGAACTAGGGTTCCTCAAAACCTAAATGAAGGGAAGTTACTCCATAGAGAAGAGAGAGACTGCAGAAATCTGATCTAGATCTTCAATCTCCATCTCCAAGCTTGATTCCCGAGCTCCAATGGCGAAGGAATCCTCCAAAATAGCTCCAAGAATGTTCCCAAGTCGCTCTCTCTCTAGTGTTCGTCCCTTGGGTGTTTGGGAACCAAAAACCCAGCTCTCCTTTCCTTTGGCTGAAAATCGGGTTTTAACCAGCAATTCCCGACTCACACGGGCAGGCCACACGGCCGTGTGGCTCAACCAGTTGCCCGTGTGAGTCAAAACGCGGCGTATCATTAATTCGAAATTCAGGCTTCCCACACGGCCAGGGTCGCACGGCCGTGTGGGATTTCCATCCTGCCCGTGTTTTCTCTCGGCGAAACTCGCACGGCCACTTTGCTCCTCCACACGGCCGTGTGATGGTTATGTGTGCCCGTGTGAAGGCTCGCATAATCCCACACGGCCAGGTTTGTCCCTTGCACGGCCGTGTGGCTTCTGGTTGTGCCCGTGTGGCTTCCTTTTTGCCTTGCCTCGCGCCCGATCTTCATCCAATCGACCCCAAACTTGCTCCCAAGCCTCCATTCACGTAGTAGGACCTGAAATATCACAATCAAGCACAACCTAGCGTGAAATCGGCTTAAAACACGAGAATCAACACCTCAAACGGTGTAAGAACAGGGGGTAAAAACATGTGTAATTAACGGTCTATCAAACTCCCCCACACTTAACCGTTTGCTTGTCCCCAAGCAAACCAAGTCAGACACAAGGTAAGCTTACATATTTTAATCAACCAACATTGGGGACAAGTTATAAAGGCACAAAACACGTGAATCGTACTGGTTTTCAAACATCAATACATGAACAACCTTAATAGCAACCTGGACAACCACCACAGAAGACATTCGAGTGCAGCAAAATCGAGTAAAGGAAGAGTCTCCCTTCGTTCACCAACCAACCTAGACTTGACTCAACCACTTACTCAAAACAGTCAACTCATGCATCCAACTCAAGACATTAGAATAGAGACCGAGCAATCTAGGTCCTCACAGGGGTACAAGAGTATATAGAATATGAAAATGAATCACTCACTCTCGACCAGTGGGGTCAGGACAATTTGATGCGAAAAATGCGCATGTTATTTCTCTCAATCCCTAACATCTCTTCACCATGATGGCAGCCTCTAAATGCTAGAGTTCACATATGGGGTGTCACCACTAACTAATTAGGAGGTCTTAGACACAGGTTCAAATGACTGGCTAGGGTCTTGGACATGGGGAAAAGGCCTTTTAGGTGGTGGAGGTATTCAAAGCACAAGGTTCCACATTTCCAAACCCACACAATCACAGTCAAACAAACCGGTATTTCCTTTCTGCTATTCTGCATTACTCAATATCTCAAGAGCACAAGAGTGAAGGAGGTATAAATGTCAGCATTTCCAAGCCAGACTGCTAAGAAACACTACTTACTAGGCATTATTCAGATTTTTGGTAGTGGCTCTCTTTGCTTTCAATTTTTCTTTGTTTTTTTTTTCTTTCATTTCCTTTTCATTTCTTAAGAGAGCCACCACTTCTGCACATATTTCAAACACATGCCCAGCCCAACTTTTAAGCACTACCTCCAACACTCACAACAAATTTAGCAGAAACAGCAGAGAATATGTAAAAACCACTCTGTGGAACCTTCTAAAAGATGCAAAGGGTGATTTTTTTCATTATAGACCAAAAGAAAGGATAACACACGGCTCAAAGGGGCTGACTAGGGGATATGACACATCAGGACAGTCAAATTTGGTCGTGGGCTAATCCTATGCCCCCATCATCCTAGCTAGTGACAACGTGAATGCTACACATCATGGAAGAGGGATCTATCGCACAAGAAAGAAACGAGCAGGCTCAAATCTCACATGGCTACCTATATGCTCTATCTCACATTCTGATACCCTGAACTAGATGCATAAACGACTGTCAAGAACAAGTAATCAATCCAAGTCACAGTTGGTAAGCAAACAGTTGAAAAACTGAACCCCTACACAATTCTACTGCACGTCTCAGTCCTCATCATAGGTTGTCCTAGTCACAATCAAGCTGTCATGCATTAATCCGAAAACCATTCAATTCACCAATCAAAACACAGTGCCAATATGATCAAAAAGCCGTACTTGGAGCCCTCAAATCTCAAGATTTGGACAGTGGACTAGGCTCCAAGCACACAAACAGCCAAACATTCACCCGCATAAATAATCGAACACCCCCCCACACTTAAGCACGACATTGTCCTCAATGGAGGAAAGATAAGGAGGGTAGAACGAAGTTACCAGATCAAGGGTGAATGATGATGAACGGGTCAGGCGGTGCATTCCAGAAAGAGACAGTAATCAGAACACAAACACCGCACAAAATCTCACAAAGGTTGAGTTATTGACTCTAAAATCAAATAACAAAACTGACTCAACCGAGGAGAAATAGAGAAAGAAATGCAAACTGACTGGTTGGGTTGCCTCCCAACAAGCGCTTCTTTCACGTCGTGAGCCGGACGATGGCTCCTAAGTTTCGGTCCATGCTAGAACCTCCTTGAAGTTGAGGTTCTCGTCGATGATGTGGAGTCTCAAGTCACAAGTAGGTGGCATGACAGGTGATGTAGGCTCATGTACTTGATGAATATGAAGTCTCCACCCCCGAGACCTCTTCTTTTCTTCCTCACTCGTCTCATTGCCCCAAACCAGATATGACAGCATCGACCGACCACCATCGCGTCCACCAAGAGGGACCGATGTCGATGTGGCCTTGGTCTGGCAAAGAGACACTGCAAATGGGTCCTTGCTAATCAGTTCCTCAAAGTTTGGTGGGGATATTACTTGCAACTCATGGCCGGTGCATGCCTCTTCCACCTCAACTTCATCCTCAGCCTGGACGCCAATTGCTTCCTCAACCCCCCTTCCTTCTTCAAAATGTGGTCTCTCCCCTGGGAAAAGATCAAGAACCACCTCTTCTTTTCTTTCTTCCTCATCATCCACAACTTCCTTCCTCATCCTTGCTCGCTCTTCTTCTTCTAGAACAGATTGGAGAGCAAGTCGCCAAGCAATTTCTTCAATGGGATCATCTTGCATCTCCTCGCACGGGACCAGCATGTTAGAGCATAAATGAGGAAAGGTGTGGTCTGCAACCAAAGGACTTTCCTAATCATGATTATCATGGGAGTTCTCTGTGATAACTTCTGTATGCTCCTCAACGCTCCCATAGCCTTTGTCATCCTCCACCTCTTCTAGTGTGGTAGCAGAAAGGTGATCTTGAGCAAGATGTGAGCAAACTTGCTTCACCCACTCTGTTTGCTTCGCTGAGCGCTGAACAGTCTCCTCTATATCATGGAGAAATGAGGGATCGGAAGTGGCAAGGGCTTTGATTTGAAGATCCATCTTGGAGCATGATTTCTCAGTGTCTCGAGCAAACTGCTCCACGAGAA